CCCCAAAACCCCAAAACCCCAAAACCCCATTAAAAGAGGTTTCTATAGATAATTAGTTAATGAGTTATTGAGCATATTAAAAATCTATTAATAATCTAAAATGAATAAAGTCCTCAGATATTTATAGACAAATTTCGTATTAAACTTCACACTAAGCCTCGTCAGCCATCAATATTTCTTCTTAATCAGTATTTACTTTATTGCTATTCATACTCATGCTACTTACTTTAAGCTTGTATTAATGCTTATATTTGGTACTTTCTTTATCCTCATATTACATATATAGGTATGGAAAGTTTAAAATTTGTAGTGTTAATGGGACTTAAATTGTATAAGTTAGTTGGATGGGAAATGAATAATAAAGCCCTCTTTAAAATGAAGTCCTTACATTTACTCTCTTTGGCTTTTGTTAACGGATTTGGATATATAATGCCCACCATATATCTATTACTGAACAACAGGATATCATTACTTGATTATCTTGTGAAATCATTGTTCTTTGATATGATGTTTACATGCTTCTTAAGTATAACAATAATGCGCTGATTTTATTTATTGACTCCCAAAATCCTAATCTCAATTGTTTTAGGTATAGTTGGTTTGCTTATCTACGATTTGGTCTATGTAGTTAAATCAGAAATAATGAGTATGCTCACTTTCAAAATGATATCGAATATATACTCTAACTTTCATACCAAGTATACTACAATTTTCATAATAACAAGGTTAAGCAAATGCTTTGTCACTGTTGCTTCTAAATATTTCATCCTTAAGCAAAAGTGCTATGAGTTTCTAGTAATAAAACAACGTGAAGAAGTATTAGCTATGAAAGGTCTTAATGATTACAATACTTTGAAGGGTTTTTCTATAGATTTATATCAGAGTTCAAAAGCTTTCCATAAATTAATAGAATTTAAAACTTAGGAAATGCTTACTGAAACTGATAATTAAAAATACGAATCCATTTTAAGATAGCAGAACTATTAAAGTAGCAAGTCTAGTAGTTCTTAATCTGCTATTTAGAGTCAGTAGTCTGATAAAAATGCCTTTGAGACAGCAGCTTATACCACAAATGAGTTGCAAAATATGAAGAAAAATAATTTGAATAATACAATGGTTAGGGATTTATAATTGGATATTTATACTTCAGAAATCCCAGCAGTAAAAGGGTACCTAAATAAATTTCAAATCCAAAATAAAGATCAAGAGGAGGAAGAAAAAGATTTTGACTAAATTGCTTAGGAATTTAGCAATGACCTCATTTATAATTAGAATTTTACTCAGTATTGGAATTAAGGTAGTGATAGTAGAGAATTCGATAGAACTTTGGAAGGCTAAAATTTTCATAGTAAAAATCTAATGGATTAGATATTTGATGATCATATTAGATCTGATTATTATCTGTTAGGAAGTGATTATATTAATACGCTAGAGATTTAAGCTTTAATTAATGGCTTTGGTCTTTTTGGTGGAATGCTTTTGTATCTGATTTTAACTCAAAGTTACAATGATGAATTTTGGATGGAGATGTATGAGATTAAGCCAACTCTTTTAGATCAGAAAGAGCCAATTATTGTTTTGGTATTCTTTACTATTATTGGATATCTATTAAAATCAAGTTTGGAATATAATTAAGCTTTTGTGATTAAAATTAATCATCAAGGTTTTACTATAGGATAGCCTCTCTTTATGATATTTTTTGTTTATCCTTTTGTTTTTGGTATCGATAATGCTCTTGATGTCAAATTAATCCTTGTTGTAATTTTCCTGCTATTGTCAATGCTTAATGTTTAAGAAATTGAAAAATCTTATAAAGATAGAAAGCATATTAAGCTAATGTCACATAGTTTGGTGATGATAATGAAGTCTAAATAAAATGAAATTTAGCTGAAAACAAAAGAAATTTAGAAAAATCTACTGAATATCTATGAATCAAAAGGATTGCAAGAAGTCTTGAGTAAGATTATTTAAGCGTTAGCCTAGAAAAATCTATAAGGTTTGCTTAAAAAAACAAATTCATCTTACTTTGGTTTTATGAAGAACGTAAATCCAATGGTCAATATTATGGATCCTTTAACCTTATTCATGAATCCTAAAATGATCAAGCAGAAGTCAGTGCCAACTGAAATAGAATCCCCGAATAATGAAACTAAACAATTAAGGAAGAAAAAGCCTAGAAAATTTAGTTTCTAGCAACAGTATAAACGAGAAAATCAAGAAAGCTAATTAAGCTCTATCAGTCAAAATATTTGAATTCACATATAAATACCTAAATTTTTCCAAATTTTATCGTCATGGGGTTTTGGGGTTTTGGGGTTTTGGGG